TGTCAGCACAGAGCCCGACGTGGGGCTCAAACTCCCAGACTGTGAGGTCGTGACCTGAGCTGAAGTCGGATGCTCACCTGACTAGTCTATCCAGGCACCCCTATGTGTGATTAACACTTAAAGCAGCAGAATTTCAGTAAAGCAGATTGCCCTCCATAATGTGGGTGGGCCTCATCCAATCAGTTGAAGGTCTTAAGAGCAAAGAATGAGGTCCCTCAAAAAGGAAGGAACTCTGATCCAGACTCTGGCTTCAGACTCAGCACTGCTATATCAGTGCTTGTGGGAATTTCCAGCCTGCTGGCTTTGCCCTGCAAACTCCAGACTTGCTCATAACTGCATGAGCCAATCCTTTAAACTAAATTCCCTTCTGTCTCTCTGTCTTTCTGTCTGTGCACACGGACACGTTCTATTGGTTCTGTTTCTCTGAAGAAGTCTGACCTGGTATCCCTTGTAGTCATTCTGGTCGCCTCAGTATGTCCATGCCTCGATCCCTGAACCTCTGAAGGTGGGTCCTATTTCATCACATGACTCCTTAAAAGCAGAGCACTTTCTCTGGCTAGCAGCAGAAGAGATGCTTCAGGAGGCGAGGTCAGAGAGATCAAAGTTTGACCCACCATGGCCGGAGGGGGGACCACATGGAAAGCCAGCAAGGAATACGGACCCCAGTCTTACAAGCATATGCAACTGAATTTGGCTAGCAACCTGTAGAGCCGCCCGAGAAGCCCCCAGTCCTGCTAATGCATTGATTTCAACCTTGTGACACAGTAAGCAGAGGACCCATGTGAGCCCACTGGGACTTCTGACCTACAGAAGCTTTGAGAAAATAGATGTGTGTGGTTTAAGCTGCTAACTTTATGGTAATTTATTGTGGCAGCAATAGAAAATGAACTCAGTGCGTCATAATGGGCAACAACAGAGAACAACTAATCACTGTGTTGCGAAAAGCCTTGAAACATATATGTAGACAAGCCAACATTTTTAAACACAGCGAGATGGTGATTCTGGAATGAATGGGGTTAATGCTGGACTTGTTACAAACCTGGACCCAACGCAGCAATGTTTTGTCAGGACACACAGAACTTAAGTCCATCCGTCGCTGCATTCACCAGGAATTGCTTTGCGTTAAACAGCAGAATAATAGACCCCAAAACGAACACCACAAGCTGAACACACTCCCAGGTGTGCTTTATGATGTGGATGGCCTCCACTGTTGCCTGTAAAGACTAGGTCTAAATCTTACTCTTTAGCATTGACATGAGGACCCCTCCAAACAATGGGACCATTTCTCTGTGGTGGCCCTCATGTGTCGCTCCAAAAAAGATTAGATTTGCTCCTTCCTAGCGAGATGATGCTTTTGAGAAAGTCGTTTGATAAAGAATCCTCAGGTCCACTTTCATTTGCTTGATTCCTGTTCCAGAAATGAGAGGGGTGGCCTCATTCATAGTTACCAAATAGCGGAGCTGAAGATTACATTTCCAAGAGTTCCTCTGTTTTCAAACTTTATGAAAATGTACCACTTTCTTTATTACCTCTCTCTTCTGAGCTCTGGATGCCTGTGACCAACAGTCTATTGGAAATCTCCATTTGGATAACCCATAGGCACCTTGTAAGGCCACATGCATCATTGTGAAGGTGTGCGCAAGGGGTAACATCTAAGGGGGACCATTCACAGTAAAAGTCTCATAGATCTCTAGGTCTATCATGGCTCTTTCTTGGCACATGGCAGTCAAAGCTTGAGCTTTGACAACACTTGCATATGATGAGAATTTTATGGCATTCCAGTGTTGCAGGAGGGGGTCTCTTGTTCTGATGCACACCAGAGCACTGTTAAGGGCTGGGGCTCAGTGTACAGCGCACTTAACGTGTCCAAAATGAACTGATCCTTTTCACTCATCTTTCCCAATTGGTTGTCATTCCATGTTCCTTATCTCGGTGACCGCTATCACGATCTATCCAGTTATTCAAATTCAAAACTTTGGTGCCAGCCTTGACCCCTCTCTTAGCCTCTTCCTCCTCTTTTTCATGCCCAGCATCCCATCGGTCACTGCGTCCTGTCTGATGTCAGGCCTCAGCTTCTGAAACGATCTTCCCACAGCTCCTCCTGCCCCTCGAGTCCATCCATCACCGTGCAGCCTCAGCCACAATTCCCAAGTGTAAGTATGGTCAGGTCTCCCTTCTGTAGGATCTTGCTGTGGCTCCTTGTCACCTCTAACGGGATATCTCCACGTGTAAGCTGCAGGCCTTTGGTATCAGACTCATTCAAGGTGCTTTATCAAATGTGGGCTCCCAGGATAGTGATGCTGGCATGGCAAGGTCACAGTGCAAAAGAGCATGTCACCCTGTGGAGATTGGGGCTGGGTGAATCCATCCCGGATGTTACCCTGGCTGCTGCCTTTGTTGCCAATGATACGTTGCCTTTATTTTTGAGCCACAGATCTCATGTTTTCTGTCAGGTTGTCAGTGGGGAGCAGGCTACATTTTGAGTTTCCTAGTAGGGAGAAACTTCAGACCCTCCACAGCTGCGGACCTAAGAGTGTGTGGCACCTTCCTTAGAGGGCAGCGATGGGTTGGGCATGGGTCTCCAGCTGAGTGTGGAAAGAAGCTGCTGGGGGTGGGAGGTGGCTACTTTTCTGGGCCCTACATCAGAGCAGTGTTTGGGCACTCTATTGCTGCGTGTGTGTGTGTGTGTGTGTGTGTGTGCGCGTGCGTGCACACACACACACACACACACACACACACACACACACACCAATCTCAAAATCTAGTGGCTTAAAACACTGAGTTATTTCTCAGAACTCTATGGTTCAATGGAATGAGTCTCCAGCTTCACCTGGTGTTGGCTGAACCATCGTGCTGGCCACTGGCTGGGAGCCTTGCTTCTCTTCCATGTGGAACTTTCTATACGGTTGGTCGGGTTTCCTCAAAGTGCGGCAGCTGCGTTCCAAGAGAGAGTATTCCCAGAATCCAAGGCAGAAGTTGCAGATCCCTTAGGTCTAAGTCTTGGAAGTTACATAGTACCCCTGCTGCCATACTGTGTTGGTCAAAAGAGGTTATGGGGCCTGCCCACATTCAAAGACATCGATTCTACCTGTTGATACAGAAGTGGCAAGATCACATTGCAAAAGAGCATGCGGAATGGGGGATATTATTGCAGCCGCCTTTGGAGGCGTAGTCTACCACAGAGGGACTATATAATAGTATTTCTCCAAGGGCACTGAGCTTTGCCCACACCAGAATCCAGCACAAAGCACAAACTTCTTAGGCTAGCATGACGGCCGCTCCATGTCTTGGCCCTATTGGCCTCGAGTTGACCTTATCACTTGCCTTGTCTGACTTTATGCTCCAGCAAACTGCAGTAAGTTCTTAGAGTTCACTTGCACACAACATGGTGTTTAACCAACTCCACACCTTTGTCCATAATTATTCTTTCTGCCTACAACAACTTGACTTTTTCAACTGATCAAAGGCTTACTCATCCTTTAAGATTCACTTTTCTAGGAAGCGTTCCTAAGCCCTCTCCTCCCACAGCCCCATGGGCTTGCTACCATCATGGTTCTCACCAACAGGTAGTCACTTGGCTGAACTTCTTAGGCAGTAATATGTCTGATTGCTTCTCTGTGCTGTTAAGTCCTATGTTTGCTTAACTGAGTTCTAAGTGGGATAGTGTCATAGTGAATTCCTCAATGGCATAATCCTTCTTGAAGCTTATGGTACTTAAAATATGTTTAAAACTTCACCATTTTCTTTCTGACAAATCTCAGGGCAGCTAGGATGCTTACAAAAAATTTTGGCAGCCGGAAAGGCCAATATTGAGTTTTAGTTCCTGGTTAGAGCCCTCTTCCTGGCTGGCTGACAGCTGCTTCTCACCATGTCCTCACATGGCCTTTCTACAGTGCCTGCTCACGGAGTGAGTGAGACCAAGCTCTCGGGTGTCTCTTCTTATAAAAGCAGTAATTGCATCATGCCAGGGCCCATCCTTAGGATCTAATCACCTCCAAAGGCTTCATTTCCAAATACCATCAACTTAGGTTTAGGTAGGGCTTCAACACATGAATGGGGCGGGGGGGGGCTGTGGACACATTCAATCTATAATAGTGGATTACACGTTTGATTTAGTAATTTTGGAACGCCAGAAGCCTACAGGAGATAGGTTTCCAGTGTGTCTGGACATCTTCCCCTTCTTCCTCCCAGCCATCCTCACTCTGTCGTCCTTTAACTCCAGGCCCACCCCCTCTTGGGTGTATGACGGCTGCCGGGGCTCCAGACATCACATTCTCATCCACTACGCTCAGTTTGAAGTTATTAAGCTAGTAGGACAGGATGGGTCTGGGATGGGAATGGCCATCTCCCTGTCTACAGTTCTGCTTTTTATCGGGATCATGGCTCTGCTGTCTGTACCCAGGGAAATCACAGCAAAGGCCTTAGTCATGATTGCCATCACCACCCCCGACAAGATCAGGGGTGAGTTGGGGGTTGAGGGGGAGGATGAGCCTTTATCATCAGATATTGGCTGGATTTCCAAAGCAGCAGAAGCTAAACATCACTGGTAATATAAAGCAGGGCCGGAAGTTCCGAGGGCGGCATCAGAACATTCGGTCGCCCCACAGATGGCGGGGAGGTGGGTTTGTGAGAGGCAGGGAAGAATGGCGTGGGGAAGAATTGCTAAAATGGACGCAGTTGCGCCGGCTTTAAGGGCTTTAAGACGGCGAGACTAGTGACACCCGGACTCCTGGGCCGCCCTCACCTCAAAACTTTCCCGGGAAGGAAAATGGAGGGAAACAGATCGTTTCAATCACTGAACGCCCCCAACTTTTTGTTCACCCGGTGCCTCCCCGGCCACTCTGGCGCGTTCCCGCGCGCAGCCGGGGGCGCGGGCCCGTAGCAGGCTCCCGGCGCGGGCGGCCTGGGTCCAGGTGGAGCTCGGCGAGCGGGGGCGCGGCCGGGCCCCGCGCGCCGCTCCCCGCCCCCGGCCCCGCGCGCGGCCTTGTGGGTAGCGCGGGGCCGCCAGGTGACAGCTAATGGCGGCGGCCGCCTGAGCCGGCGGGCGGCGCGGCGCGGCACGGCACGGCGGCGGGCCCTTCCGGGCGCCGCTCCCAACTCGCTGCGGCTTCCCCGCGGCGACGGGCCCGGCGCACCATGGACAGGCCGGCGACGGCGGCAGCCGCGGCAGCGGCGGGCAGCGAGGGCGGCGGGGGCCCGGGCCCGGTGCCGGCGGGCGGCAGGAGGCCTCCTCGGAGCTCAGGGGCCTCTGCCGCCGGCTCCCGACAGCCCAGCATGGAGACCCTGGACAGGTAAGCGGGACCCAGGCCGCCAGGGCCTCCGCGCCCCGACCCCCGAGGGCCCTGAGCGCTGCGCCGGCGTGGCCGGGGTGGGGCGTGCCCCCCTCGGTGCCCCGCCGCGTGCGTCTCCCCCGTCCCAATGGGACCCCGGACCCTGCCCCCACCTTCCGGGGCCGCGCACCTGGCTCACTTCCGTCTCGCGGGCTGGTGCTTCGCAGCTGTCAAACCTTGTCCGTGCCTCTGCCCGCCGCACCTTGGAGACGCGGCCACCGGGCCCTTGGGAAGAAATTTCACCGGGCTCTCCTCTTTTAGCGTGGCCTTCCCTCCTGGGATTGGAAGACCGAAATCCAGCCGCGCTGCTTGGGAGCCTTTGATGGTGGGGTTGGGATTGGGGACTGGAGGACTCAACCCCTTGGCTGTTGGAGCTGGTGCAGATGGAGGCAAAGTTACCCTGATTTGAAAAGCTGGGATGGAAAACTTTCAAACTGCTTCTGATGCAAGAACACACGGTCGTTTACTTTCAGTCCTTCACATTTTGAAGGAACCCGGTCTTGATTATTTTCACGAGCACATAAGCCTGCCACTGGTTCTCAGGCAGTTGCAGAGTCAGTATACATCACAATTATAAACTGACTACGTGCAGCTGGGAGGGAGCCACCCTAAGGCTCCGAGGACAAGTGATGGGTTATCCCGTAGCCCGGAATATCCAGTTCTCCCACATCTTGGCCATTTCGCTGACAGGGGAGTGCAGTTAGGCAAGAGATTGCGTTGTAACGCAGCTGGGTCGGTGTCAGATGCTCGTTCTTGCCTGTGTTAGTCATAACAGTGAGCTGAACTTTGGGGAGTTTCCTGAAGCATAGGAACAACAAGAAACACTCCCTTTGTTTCTTCCTCGGTGTCATTACAATGTAGCCTAATAAATCAATCAGCCAAGTGATCAGCTTCACTGAGAACCAATCACAGCTAAGATGGAACTTGGAGTGGTCAGGATTCCACTCATTTGCAGGCATTCTACAATGAGGACTTGGCAAGTTAGAGAATAATATAAGATGGGGTTTGCTCTCTGGATTACCATTTAGTGAAGAATACAAACAAACCAGCAATTTAAATCGGATGTGGTGAGTGCTGGGGTAGAGGTCAGCACAGAAGCACTCCGGATGGGGTGTGTGTGCATGGGAATTAACTGAGAAGCTTCCTGAGAGCTCCGTGTGAGCGGGCCCCACACCAAAAGCTTTAGATTCAGGAGGTTCGGGGTGAGGTCCAGGAGTTAGTATTTTTCCCAAAAACCTCTGCAGACTCCATTGTGATGCACTGCCCTGTGGGTACACGGAGGTGGGGTCCTTGATTTATTTAGTCGGGGGTGGGGGTTGGGGGATCATAGGCACTTAAGGAGGCCTTCTGAGGAAGCTGACATTTGAACTGAATGGTGAGGAATGAGAAGTTAGCCAGGGGACGGGCTGGGGAAGACTTTTTGGCCACGGGAGTGGAATGTGCAGTCATGCAGGCGACTCTGGATATGCGGAACTGGGAAGCAGAAGACATGTGGGAAGGCAGGGGCCAGATCTTGGAGGGGCTCAGGTGCCTTCCTAGGGAATTGTGCCGCTATCTTCTGCACGATGCTTCTCAGGGCCTGGTTCTGTGTACCCTGTGTAGGAATCACCTCCAGTGTTTGATCCAAATGCAGATTCTTGGGTCCCACACTAAGCCTAGCCAGTCCACATCTGGGGTAGAAACTAAAATTCTGTACGTATAGCTGTAAGTAGGTTGGGCCAGGTGGTCTCTCTTGCCCAGGATGTATGGGCTTACTGGTTGGGCAGGTGTGATTAATAATAGCGGCCTCTTTCAACTCACTTCATTTCACTTCAAGTGTCTTGGTTTGGAAAGGAAATTATATGGTCACCCCAGCTATGGGGACCAGAAAAGAATTTCCATCGGGTGAGCTACAGGATGGGATTGATGTTTTACTTGCAGTGCTGTGGTAAATGTAAATGGACCTGAGGCGGGAAGTCTTCTTGAGTACGTTATGGAAATGCTACTCACTCACTCACTCATTCTGTGAATATGAGTGCCTGCTCTGTGTCAGGCGTTGTGTGCGACCTGAGGGTTTGGCAGGCAACAAACACAGAAATCACTGCCCTGGTGGAGACTATGTTTGGTGAGAGAGACAAAACACAGGTAAACTGTATTTTCTATTAGATGGTGACAGGTACTAGGGGAAAAAGTAATTTGGGAGGGGAATAGGAGGTGTTGGGGTCTGCAGTTTGGGGAGCGAATTGGAATTTGATGTAGGATGGTCAGGGAAAGCCTGGCTGAGAAAGGGGATATTTGAATAATGCCCCTAAAGAAGGAAGGGGTCCAGTAATACAGATATTAGGGGCAACAGCATTCCAGGCAGAGGCCTGTACACCCTGGGGTGGGAGTGTGAGCAAAGTGTGCCAGGATCAGCAAGGAGACCAGTGTCATTAGTGGGGAGGGTGGGAGGGAGAGGGCAGTACGGATCGAGGTCAGAGAGGTCACAGGGGCAGATGGTGGAGAGTCATGGGGAGCAACTGGGGCCTTTGAAGCAGAGGAGTGACATAGATTTCAGTAAGCTCTCTGGCTGCTGTGCGGCCGACAGACTGAAAAGGGAAGGCGTTGAAGCAAAGGGACTAGCAAGTAGGAAACTACTATAGTTATCCACGGGAGAGAGTGTGGTGGGGTAGAGGACCGGAGACATGGTCAGATTGTGGATATAATTTGAAGAAAACCCACAGGGTAGAGTCGGTACGGTTTGCTGAAGATTGGTTGTTGGATAGGAAGAAAGAATCAGGGTGCCAAGATTTGTGGTTTGTAGGAAAATGGTGTTGCCGAGATGGAAAAGCTTCTGAATGGAACACAGTTAGGAAATTATCAGGCTCTCAGCTGTGGACATCAGTTATGAAATGCCAGTTGTATATCCCAGAGCAGAGGTCAAAGAAATGGTTGGTTTATATGGGCTTGGAGCTCAGGGGGTGTTGTCTGAGATAGATACTTGGGAGTCATCGGCCTAGAGATAGGGCCTAAATTCAGGAGGCAGGAGAACAGAATGCTGGGTGGGTGGAAGAGGGAATTGCAGTAGGAATTGAGGAAGGTGCATTGTCATGATACCAGCCCATGGGAGTGACATGGCTTGGTGAGTGAGTGTGATGAAGTGGAGTGGGGGTTGGGCTCCAAGGTAGATTCCAACTTTTGGGCGTGGGGTACCCAGGTAACTGGCTGTGCCCTTCCCTGACTTCGGAAACACAGGGTTGGGGGAGTGGGTTGTGGGCTGAGCCACCCGTGCTGGCTTCGACAGGTTGCGTTGGCAGGCTCTCAGGACCAACTAGGACCGATGTCGCATTGGATCGTGGGCATCCAGATCCGGGGAATCCAGGTTGGAGAAACAAAGCAGGGCTGTCCCAGGCTGCGAGTGAGGGGGGAGATCGGACAGGGCGTCCTTGCCTGCCTTCTTTGACCTGTCGTCGTGACAGACTGTGATTCATACTCTTCTTCGGAGAATGACTCCCAGAGTACAACCTGGCTCTACACGCCAGGTTCAGCCTAGCCCCTGGGGACTGGGGAGCCCTCCCCTTTCTCCTGAACACCGTACCTCATGACGACCGAGCTGCGGTCCTGCAAGAGGATGTGGCTTGCTCGAGGTCACAGAGCTAGCTGGTAACAGGAACTGGACTCGGAGCCAGACCTCCTGTCTGCCAGCCCACTGTGCCATGCTGTCTGTGACCGTGTTGGCCAGGACACTTCTGGTTGCAAGTGACAAAAAAGGAATCGTTCTAGCTTGAGCCCAAAGGACAGATCTCGGCACACGTCATTGTTGCACATGAGGAAACATGGCAGCAGCACACTTGAAGCCGGAGCTGCACGCAGCACTGTTGGGACTCCTCCTGTCTTGTCTCTTCTTGTCACGCTCTTTATCTCTGTGGGTTCCTCAAGGTGCTGGGGGTGATCGACGCAGCTTGGGATCCGAGAGGAAAGCCTGAGACTGGCGTGGCTCGGGTCTCTCCCCTGCAGGTGGGCTCAGGAGGAGCAGGGGGTCAGCACCCATCTGCCTCCCCAGTAGCATCCTGTGGAGTGGGGTGGGGCGGGCCCCCACAATAGAAAAGTGTTCTTATCAGAAGGAGGGAAGGATGTTGGGCAGAGGGCAGCAACAGGTCACTCACACCGGGTGATAGGTTTGCAGTCAGAGGTGGGTGCTGGCAGTGTGACAAGAAGAGTAGGACATAACCAGCAATAGAGCGATCTTACCCTTTATTTAATTTTTTTTAATGTTTCATTTATTTGAGAGAGAGAGAGAGAGACAGAGACAGGGACAGCGTGAGCAGGGGAGGGTCAGAGAGGGAGGGAGACACAGAATCGGAAACAGGCTCCAGGCTCCGAGCTGTCAGCACAGAGCCCAACGCAGGGCTCGAACCCACAGACCAAGAGATCATGACCTGAGCCGAAGTAGGACACTTAACCGACTGAACGACCCAGGTGCCCCAAGCGATTTACCCTTTCAAAATGAAACTAAAGGGGCACCTGGATGACTCAGGCAGTTAACCGTCTCACTCTGGATTTTGACTCAGGTCACAGTCTCACGGTCATGTGATCGATCCCTGCATCGAGTTCCACACTGACAGTGTGGAGCCCGCTTGAGATTCTCTCTCTGCCCCTCCTCTGCTCATGCTCTTTTCTCTCATAATAAATAAATAAACTTTTTTAAAAATGCTAAAAAAAAAAACACTAGAAAAGAACCTAAAATCCCTCTCTTCCTCTTACAAATTGTACTAAATAAATTTTCAACATATAATAGGAATGGCTGCCCATTCGGCTCATGTTCTTAATTATGTTTTCAGACCCACAGCTAACCACTAGGCTATCTTGACCAGAGGCTGAGACTTACATCACTAGTAGAGAACATCAGATGTCTTCATTTCGCTATTTAGGTTATTTTACATACTGCCTAGGGATTCCAGTTTTTTCCGTCTTTCCAATATATGAACGTGGGTTTAGTTAGTGATGAGATTTTTACAGGTCAGGAATATCCTTTGCAGTGAAAGCTGCCTGCGGGGTAAACTTTCCTAAGCATCTTTGGCCTTTCCTTCAGTGCTCCGATGAGGAGCCTGGCCCCTTGGGGGCAGTTTTTGATTCCCTCATGCTCCTAGTCTGCTTATGTGTTCCTTTAAGTCAGGAGGACTCGGCCCTCCCACTTACCAATAATGTGACTCTGGTCAAATGCTGGAGCCTCATGTTGGTCATCTGTAAGATGGGCACCATGCAAGTGGGAGATGCCATTTCCTTGCAGCGTTGTGATCCCATATGGGGCGGTGGCCAGCGTCTGTGGTGCTGGCCTCCGTTTTGCCGTATGGTTCGTCGAGTGGGGCAGTGTTGGTTGTGCCATGTCCTGGAAGGTGTAGTGGAACGGGAGCCCGGCCCACCGCCTTCTGGTCGGGCTCGCCACCTGTGCCTCGACTTCCTCACCTCAGAAACATGCTGGCTGCTCTCTGCGTTCGTATCACACTGTGGTTGTGAGGCTTTCACATCCCAACGAACTGGAAGAGCCTTCATGAGCTGTCAGCGCACTTACAGAAATGCAAGGTGGCATTACTACTACGTGCAGGATGGCATTCGTCTAGTCTGTTCTTTTTAGAGTCACATCATCAACTCTGTTCCATGAAAAGTCTATTTGAAAAATACACGCTGTAAGATAAATATTTCACCCTAGAATTAATATTCTGTATACATTATATTGAGAATACTCAGTCTATACAATTGTAATAGAGTACAATTCCATGAAATGATAGCGAATAACATGCTTAACTGTCTAATGCCTAGACTCTTCAACTTAGAAAAGTTGGTTGATTCATTTAAAGACAACCTGGAACCGAATCTTACTTCCCAGTTGTCAGTCAGTATTTCAGGTCTTCTATTAAATGTAAAGATAACCAAGTAGTCTGTTTGTTTTCTTAAAAAAAAAAAAAAAAAAAAAAAAAAGAAATGTACATATATCCCCAGTCAGTACTCATTTTTTTTTTCACGGAGAGCTGACGTCTTAAAATATTTTAATCACACTATTTCTTTTAGTCCTACAGGATCACATGTTGAATGGTGTAAACAGCTTATAGCTGCTACAATTTCTAGTCAGATTTCAGGTTCAGTGACATCAGAAAATGTATCCAGAGACTACAAGGTAAGTAAGCAGCATTGAGTCCTTAATTCATTTTCAATGTACCAAGAAGCTTTGCATTTTGAATTTGAGTGAGACTTTGACCCCTTGATGTTCAACAGACATTTGTTTGGGAACAAGGGTGAAAGGGTCTCTGTTGTTATAGATCTGAACTTTAGAGGAGAATTTTTGTCAGGATCCAGTAGATGTACTCATGGTTTTGTAATTGAGAGGAAAAGCTGTCTTTAGATTATGATCAGTTTTCTAAAAAAAATCTAGTTTCATTTTATTATTTTATCACATACTGTATTTTTATCTTTCATTACAGTAAATACCTCTATTTTCTTTGATGGTATTCTGAATTTCAGAAAATGTCTGATCGTATTTCCCAACTTCACCGTTTGTTTCTGTATTTAGGTGTTACCTGTGGGTATTTAGCACTAACGTGGTACTACAATGTAAAAACACTTGACAACTCCAGAATGTTGTATGGGCAGCTTTGTTTTTTAGTCCTTAATTTGGATTCTCTGTTCATTCTGGAGTTAAGGGTGATAAGCTCTTTGTCAGCAGAGATAGGGGCTCTTTTACTCACCATTGCTTCCCCAGCACAATCCTGGAATATAACAGGTGCTCAGTAAATACGTGTTGAATCAATTAACAAATAAAAAAATGTATGTGCTCCATCTTCTTTAAGGGTAAGACTAACCTTGTTTTAATGTCGGTCAATGATTAAGCCATGCTTATATTGCAGTAGTGGCACTTGGCTTGAATTGACGTTTCAGTCTCTTATAGTTCTCTTTGCTAGTAAAAGAGAATTGATGTCACAAGTATAGGTGAGCTACATTTAGTATCCAGACTACCCTCAGTCAACAGTCTCTCAAAATCATGGTCCTTGCCAGGCACCAAGGCTTACAAACAGTTCAAGAACTACAATAAAAATCCTAAATAATTCTTAATACATGCCCCTTGCTTAAGGGCGCTAGCCTCCATTCCTCTCCTCTCTCTCTCATAATGCAGCAAGTGCAGAAACTGACTCAAGAGGCCTTGTAATTGAAATCTGGCTATCCTGCTCTACTTGCTTCATCCAAGCCATCCGATGCTATTGATTAGGTCTACCAGAGGAAAGCGGGGCTGCAGATTAGTAGAAATTGGATAATCTGCTTAGCCAGAAGAGTGACAGTATGTCACTCTCCCTAGGTTTCCCTGCTGTCTGGTTTTCACGTTTGTCCACGTAGGAGCAGCTGGGGTTCCTGGGGTTCCAGACCCAGCTTGGCAAACACACCGTCCCCAGGTGGGAGGAGCATTTGCTCTATCACTGATGCCTGGGTGGCAGATCACTGAGCAGCTGCTGACCCCACCCATCCCGGCTGCCCTGTTGCCCCCATCTTAGCTGAGAAACTGTCCCCCCCCCACCCCGAGTGGAGAGGCTCAAGAACCCATATGAAACGAGAATAGCTCTCAGGCCTTGGAATGATTTTCTTTACTGACAATTATGAGTTAACTGTAATGTTTTCATTATGGTTGAATATTTATTTGTTAGTGCTGTGTGGGTTCTATAAAAGATTGCCTAGCTTTCTAACCTCTACATTAGTAGATCAGACTGCATCTGTACTTTAACACGAAGCAACTAAGTTTTGTTAATTTTAGTCTATTTACAAATTTGTGTAGCAGAATTAGCTCATGTTGGAATGGCTTAACAGATGGCATTCAGAAAAAAATATAAGGCTTTTCTATATTTCGTAAGTTGAATTTTAGGTATCTGCATCAGGTCATAGCTAAAGCTTTTGATGAATTATTGTAAGAGAACATGTTTTATAATTGTCTTTGCTATATTTGCCCTGTAACCAAGTCTACAAAGTCAGTGTTCAATTAATAATTCAGGAGTTGCTCTCTTTAAGAAGAGAGATTTTTAAATAATGAAAGCGTAAACTGTTTCTAAACCACAAGGATAATTTTATGTGCTACTTATAAAGTAGTTCTTAAAATCAGAGTACCCAAGATGGGCCCCTGGGGTACCTCTGGCCTGGGAGCCATTGCATGGGTTTTTTTCCTGATGGTCCAGATACAGTTCCTTGAGGATCTAATTTGTAGTCGTCAGTCAATAATATTTCAAATTATCTACTGTGCAAATATCTTATTTGAAATACACATTCGGTATGGGGGTTAATTTATGATAGGTTAAACTCAACGTCAGCAATTCAGGCGGAGCAGATGTTTATATGAGCACTTGCATCTTGATTTCAAATGCTGATTGTCTTTTGTGTTGTGGGCTGCCAAGGGTGGGTCTACATCATCATCCTCAGCAACCCCTGAGCACGAATAGGGCTCTATGGTTTTGTAATACTTTGGGGCATATAATCCATTGCAGCCTTACAACAACCAAATAAGGTAGCTTTTATCATAATCATCAGTTACCAGATGAGGAAATCAAGGCTCAGAGATATTAAATGACTTGCTTAATATCACATGGTTAGACTTGGGATTTTTCAGTAGGATGACTATCCCATTGAAAGGCTAGAGTGGGTTTAAAAAAATTTCCCCCTTGCCCTGTCCACTGTTTTTCAAACTGGGGCCTTCGGGTTTTCCCCACAGCAACACTCCCCAGGGTGTCTGCAAAACTACAGCTTTCATGGTCCCCATCACATGCAGTGAGTCAGAGTCTCTGCACGTATGGAACCAAGAGCCTCAAATATTTATATTTCTTGTGTATAATAAAATCTGAAACACTAGCCTTCCTAGGTTTATAGCTCTTGAAATTGGTGAAGGGACCATACATTTCTGGTAAATTCCTACACACCTAAATAATTAGCAATTCATGTTAGGTTTTGGAGAACAATTGGTTTATTATTTATATCATAAATTGACAGTAGGCTCAGCCCAAACCATGGTAAGAATATCATTTGTATCACAAGACAAGTTTAGATGGCATGTCCATATGGACATGTTTTTCACAAAAATTATGTAATTATTTTAAATACGTACTAGGAAAAATAGCACATTAAACTTATAATTTAATAGATGTTATATAGGCAAAGTGTGAAAACATTGTCCCAGCTGAAAGACTAAATAGCTGTTATGTTGAATTGTAGGTCAACTAAATTAATAAATGTGTGCTTTAATACTAAGTCATCCTGAAGACTTGCCTGGCTGTGAGGACTATTAGAAATGAAATAAAACGTTTTGTTTTGTTTGATCCTCTCCCGGCCCCCTCTCTGCACTCCACTACCAACTCACCTTAATTGCTTTTCACTTTTACTGGGCTAACAAAGAGTCTCTTTCTTGAATTTGCCAAAGATTTTAAGAATAGGATCTGAATGTAATGTTCCATAGATTAGATGAAATAATACTGTTACAAATTGGAACAGAATTTAATAGCCATTAGTAGAAGTGACATCATCATCACCATCACCACCTCTCTCTGCCTCTCCTCTTGTTTCTCCTCCCCTAGATCTCTTCTTTAAACTTTTGGAAGTAAAAGAAAATGGAGAGGATCCTGTACTAAGTTTAATCATTTAACAAGTTAGTACAGTGATTAAATTCTGGATCCTAAACAAAAATTTCCAGAAGGGCTTTGGAGGGAAGTAAGATGCAGTGCATGGGAAAGGCTTCATCATGCTTGAGCTAGGTTTTAGTTAATATTTCTTAAGTTGAGTACTAATGTATGAAAAGGGAGGCTCGAGCATGATCTTTCAGAATCCATGGCCTCATGATCTATTTATTAAATCAGAGTTTGCAAATGTCTGCAAGCTAGGCAGACATGGGAGGGGACAGTGGAGAACTGAAAAGAACAGCATGTCTCCTTGAAAACAATTTAAGAAAAACCTGCTACTGCCTCTGTGAGCAGGAGGCCTTCATTTTGTAACCACTGCACTGGAAAAGTGCTATCCTCTCTCCCAGGGTTACTTGAGGGGACAACTTATCTCTTAAACATGTCAAGATTTTGTAAGTCAGAGAAAGACAAATACCATATGATTTCACTCATATGTGGAATTTAAGAAACAAAACAGATGAACATAGGGGGGGACAAAAGAGACAGGCAAACCATAAAACAGACTCTTAACCATAGAGAACAAACTGGTGGTTGCCAGAGGGGAGGTGGGGGGTATGGGTTAAATGAGTGATGGGGATTAAGGGGCACTTGTGAAGAGCACCGGGTATTGTATGGAAGTGTTCAATCACTGTTATTATACACCGGACACTAATATTACACTGTTACCTAACTGGAATTTAAATAAACACTTGAAAAAAAAAAAAAAAGCAAGATTTCGGCTTCTGCTTCTGGAAAGATGGATCAAATGTACTTTTTCTTATTCTTCACGCTAAGTACAACCAAATGCCGTGGACATTAGCCATAAAATAAACACGAGTGCCCTGAAAGGTAGAAGAAGGCAGACTGGTTAGGGACCTCAGGACCCAAGGAATGACACGGTGGTGAGTCCCTGGGTTCTGTTTCTGCCACGTATGTCCCAGACTTGTTGCTGAAGAACCCAGCAACCCAGAAATGCCAGTGGGCACAGACAACAAAAGCCTACTCTCTCATGCCAAAGGACCAGGAAGGAGACAGCCCAGCAAAAAGAAAACTTTTAAACACTAACCACTGTACTCCAGCCAAACACCACAGAAAAAGTTGTGGCCCCACACCCACACCGCCATCAAGGCCAAGGCAGGAGCCTTGAATTCCCTTGCCAGGCTGTATTGAGGCACACCAGACCCCTGCAGGGGTAATGTCAGAAGAAGCCCAATGGAGAGTCAGACTTTTCGCCGCCGCCCGTCGGTAAGGAGGCTGTGCTGTTAGTGGAGGCCATGTTGGGGGCAGTAACAAGATATCCCTGCCGCTCCCAGTCAGGTGTCCGTGGGAGCCTGGCAAGGGGCTGCGACTCTTGCACTGACCCCTTAGTAACCAGGAATCCCCCATCTGGTGTCAGTAGAGGCTGAGTGGCGCGCCTGGCTATAATGATGTGGTACCCCTGGCTTCTGCTGGGGCGGTGTCACAGAATGCAAGGTAAAACAGACGGTTTAAATAA